TAATATAGAAGTTGTGCAATATTTATTGTTTGTCCGATGTGTGCGTTGCTTAGCGAGCTGCAGTAGTCAAGTTCAAAGATATATTGAAAAAATGTCATTCATTATGAGATATATTACAAGATATATTATGTAATACGCGGTAATTTAGTTTCCTACAAGTTATTACCTTTGTTGTAAGCATGTTCTCCGAATCATGTATAATGTACCGTGTAAGAGTCGAGACATTCAGAGCAATCTAGAAGGCAGCCAAGGTCAGTGTAAAGGAGACAGCTAGACTGCCGCTGGCTTCTCGCACTGGCCTTGGCTGCCTTTATTTTTTTCACAAGAAGTTAGCGGAAGTATAAGTATGAGAGGTGAGATCATATTATCATCGCCTTAGCTCGGTGTGTCAGTTGTTAGGTTCAGGTTTACCTGGCCTATGCTGAGTGGTGGCTCGCTAGTTCGAGTCCCACCAGAGCCGGAACAGGCAGGATTAAAATGTCTATATATGTTTTTTTTGTTCGAATTGAGTTAGCGGAAGTACAAGTATGAGGGGAATTTAATCGTGCTTAAAATCACTGTTCTGATTGGCTGTAATTTAATTATGCTTAAAATCGAATTTAAGCGCGATTACAAACTACTGTTCTGATTGGCTGGAATTTAATCACGCTTAAAATACATTTTAAGCGTGATTAAAAACCACTGTTCTGATTGGCTGGAATTTAATCACGCTTAAAATACATTTTAAGCGTGATTAAAAACCACTGTTCTGATTGGCTGGAATTTAATCGCGCTTAAAATACATTTTAAGCGTGATTAAAAACCACTGTTCTGATTGGCTGGAATTTAATCGCGCTTAAAATACATTTTAAGCGTAATTAAAATACATTTTAAACGTGATTAAAATACACTTTAAGCGCGATTAAAATAGGTAGGTTTTGGCGGTAATGGCCTTCCATAGTAACCGAGCCGACGAGCCGACGCAGCGTCCGTGTCGATAAAGACTGGAGGAGCGAGAAGGTAATGCGGTTACTTACTTTGTTGTACCTAGTAATTACCTCCGCGCAACGGAGTTGCAACGGAGGTCATGTAATCGGTCTTGTGTGTGTGTGTGTGTGTGTGTGTGTGTGTGTGTGTGTGTGTGTGTGTGTGTGT